GTTTGGGGTGCCACAAACTGCACTCACGTAAGATGGCAAACTTAATCTATAGATGTGTGTGTTCTGACTGTTCCACCTACCAGCTGTTCCCTTGTCTCTTTCCCTCTCCTTGGGCCTCCCTATACCCTGAGCGACAATAATTTTGAAGTTAGGCCAGTTGATAACCTTACAGTGGCCTCTAAGTGTTCAAGTGAAAGGAAGAGTCACACATATCTCACTTTAAATCAGAAGCTAGAAATGATTAAGCTTAGTGAGAAAGTGTTGTCAAAAGCCAAGACAGGTCAGAAGCTAGGCCTCTTGTGCCAAACAGTTATCCAGGTTGTGAATGAAAAGTAAAAGTTCTTAAAGGAAATTAAAAGCGCTACTTCAGTGAACATACAAATGATAAGAAAGCAAAATAGCCTTATGGTTCATGTGGAGAAAGTTTTAGTGGTCTGGATAGAAGATCAAATCAGCCATAAAATTCCCTTAAGCCAAAGCTTAATCCAGAGCAAGGTCCTAGTTGTCTTCAATTTCTGTGAAGGCTGAGAGAGGTGAGGAACCTGAAGTAGAAAAGTTTGAACTTAGCAGAGGTTGGTTCATGAAGTGTAAGGAAAGAAGCCATAATGTAAGAGTGTAAGGTGAAGCAGAAAGTGCTGGTGTAGAAGCAGCAGCAAGTTATTCAGAAGATCTAGCTAAGATAATTTTTCAACATAGACAAAAACAGCCTTAATATTAGAAGAAGATGGCTTGCCTTCTAGGACTTTCATAGCTAGAAAGGAGAAGTCAGTGCCTAGCTTCAAAGGACAGGCTGACTCTCTTGTTAGGGGCTAATGCAGCTGGTGACTTTAAGATGAAGCCAATGCTCATTTACCAGTCCAAAAATCCTGGGGCCCTTAAGAATGATGCTAAATCTGCTCTGCCTGTGTTCTGTAAATGGAACAAATCCTGGATGGCAGCACATCTGCTTACAACATGGTTCGCTGAATATTTTAAGCCCATTGTTGAGACATACTGCTCAGAAAAAAAGTTTCCTTTGAAAAATATTACTGCTCACTGACAATGCACCTGGTCACCTAAGGACTCTGATGGAGCTGTACAACAAGATGAATGTTGTTTTCATGCCTGCTAATATAATATCCATTCTGCAGCCCATGGATCAAGGAGTAATTTTGACTTTTAAGTCTCATTATGCAAGAAATACATTTCATAAGGCTATAGCCGCCAAAGGTAGTGATTCCACTGATGGATCTAAGAAAAGTCAATTGAAAACATTCTGGAAAGGATGCACCATTCTGGATGCCATTAAGAACATTGGTGATTTATGGGAAGAGGTTAAAATATCACCATTAACTGGAGTTGGGAAGAAGTTGATTCCAGCCCTCATGGATAACTTGGAGGGGTTCAAGACTTCAGTGGAGGAAGTAACTGCAGACGTGGTGGAAATAGCAAGAGAAGTAGAAGTGAAGCCTGAAGATGTGACTGAGTTGCTGCAATCTCACGATAAAACTTGAACAGATGAGGAGTTGCTTCTTATGAATGAACAAAGAAAGTGGTTTCTTGAGGTGGAATCTTCTCCTGGTGAAATGCTGTGAAGATTGTTGAAATGACAACAAAGGATTTATATTACATAAACATATAAAGCAGCAGCAAGGTTTGAGGGGTTTGACTCCAATTTTGAAAGAAGCTTTACTATAAATGCTGTCAAACAGCATTGCGTGTTACAGAGAAATCGCTCGTGAAAGGAAGAGTCAGTCGATGTGGCAAACTTCATCGTTGCCTTATTTTAAGAAACTACCATGGCCACCCCAGCCTTCAGCAGCCACCACCTGATCAGTCAGCAGCCATCACCATGGAGGCAAGACCCTCCACCAGCCAAAAAATTATGACTAGGGGCTTCCCTGGTGGCGCAGTGGTTGAGAGTCCGCCTGCCGATGCAGGGGACACGGGTTCGTGCCCCGGTCCGGGAAGATCCCACATGCCACAGAGCGGCTGGGCCCGTGAGCCATGGCCGCTGAGCCTGCGCGTCCGGAGCCTGTGCTCCGCAACGGGAGAGGCCACAATGGTGAGAGGCCCGCATACCGAAAAAAAAAAAAAAATTATGACTTGCTGAAGGCTTACATGATAGTTAGTACTTTATAGCAATAATGTATTTTTTAATTAAGGTATGTACATTGTTTCTTTAGACACAATGCTCTTTAATAGACTACAGTATAGTGTAAACAACTTTTTTTTTTTTTTTGCGGTACGCGGGCCTCTCACCGCTGTGGCCTCTCCCGCCGCGGAGCACAGCCTCCAGACGCGCAGGCCCAGCGGCCACGGCCCACGGGCCCAGCCGCTCCGCGGCATGTGGGATCCCTCCTGGGCCGGGGCACGAACCCGCGTCCCCTGCATCGGTAGGCGGACTCTCAACCACTGTGCCACCAGGGAAGCCCTGTAGACGACTTTTATATACATCGGGAAACCAGAAAGTTTGTGTGACTTGCTTTATTGCAGTATTCACTTTAATGCAGTGGTCTAGAACTGAATTCGCAATATCTCTGAGGTATACCTGTACTTGAAAAGAATATGTATGTATTCTGCCTTTGTTGGGTGGAGGGTTCTGTCAATGTCCCTATTCTATATCCTTCCTTTTTTAGTTTTTAAATTGAGATGTAATTGATATATGATATTGTGTAGTTTGAGGTGTTCCATGTGTTGGTTTGATACATTTATGTATTGCAGTATGATTACCACGATAGCCTTAGCTAACACCTTTATCATATCAATAATTATCATTTCTTTTTTTGGGTAGAGAACAGTGAAGATCTAGTCTCTTAGCAACTTAGAAGTTTATGATACAATATTGTTAACTATGACCACTATCTTGTGCCTTACATCTTCAGAACTTATTTCTCTACTAGTTGAAAGGTTATACCCTTAAACAGCATCCCCCCAACTACCCCCACCTCGCAACCCCTGGTAACCACCATTCTACTCTGTTTTTATGAGTTCAGTTTTTCTAAATTCCACATATGAGTGCTGTCATACAGCATTTGTCCTTCTCTGTCTGATTTCTCTCACTTAGCATCCTTGAGGATGCCCTCAAGGTCCATCCGTGTTGTTGCATATGGCAAGATTTCCTTCTTTTATGGCTGAATAATATTTCTGTGTGTGTGTGTGTGTCTGTGTATATATTATCACATCTTCTTTATCTGTTCAACTTCTGTTGGATGCTTAGGTCGTTTCCATATCTTGGCTATTGTAAATAATGCTGCTCTGAACACTGGTGGGAAGATATCTCTTCAAGATACTGATTTCAATTCCTTCTGGTATATACCCAGCTGTGGGATTGCTGGATGATATGGTAGTTAAGTTTTTAAATTTTTTGAGGAACCGCCATACTGTACCCATCTACATTCCCACCAACAATGTGTAAGGTTTCCCTTTCTCTACATCCTCACCAACGTTTGTTATCTCTTGTCTTTTTTTTATAAAAGCCATCCTAACTGGTGTGAGGTGATACATCATTGTAGTTGTGATTTGCCTTTCCCTGATAAGTGATGTTGAGCATCTTTTCATGTACCTGTTATTCTTTTGTATATCTACTTTGGAAAAATGTCTGTTCAGATCCTTTGCCCATTTTTTAAATTGAGTATATCCTTCCTAATCTTCATATTTGTTCTCTCATTTATTGAGAGAGATATGGAAATCTCTGACTGTAAAATCTATTTCTCCTTGCATTTCTATCAGTTTTTATTTTATGTACTTTTTAAAATTACTATTTATTGGAGTATAGTTGCTTTACAATGTTGTGTTAGTTTCTTCTGTACATCAGAGTGAATCAGTTATATGTATACATATATCCCCTCTTTTTTGGATTTCCTTCCCATTTAGTTCACCACAGATAATTGAGTAGAGTTCCCTGTACTATACAGTAGGTTCTCATTCGTTATCTGTTTTATACATAGTAGTGTATATATGTCAATCCCAATCTCCCAATTCATCCCACTCCCTCCTTCCCCCCTTGGTATCCGTAAGTTTGTTCTCTACATCTGTGTCTCTATTTCTGCTTTGCAAATAAGTTCACCTGTACCATTTTCTAGATTCCACATATGAGCGATCTTATACGGTATTTGTTTTTCTCTTTCTGACTTACTTCACTCTGTATGACAGTCTCTAGGTCCATCCACGTCTCTGCAAATGGCACAATTTCATTCCTTTTTATGGCTGAGTAATATATGTATCACATCTTGTTTATCCATTCCTCTGTTGATGGACACTTAGGTTTAAGCTATTAGATGTGTAGACATTTAGGATTGTTACGTCCTCCTGATGAATTGATTCCTTTATCGTTATGCAATAATATATCCCTGGCAATAGTCTTTGCTCTGAAATCTAGTACTATCATGGTATATTTTTTCAATCTTTTTGCTTTTAATCTATTTGTGCCTTTATATTTAAAGTATGTTTCCTGCAGGCAGCATGTAGTTGGGTCTTGTTCTTTTATCTGATAGTCTCTTTCAACCTTTCCTATATTTGAAGATCTTACTATATCATCAGTCTTCTCTTCTTAGGACTAAACATCCTTTTATTATGGCTTGGCTGATACTTTTTCTAAATCCTTCTATTATTATCAAACACTTGTGCATGTTTTGCTTAAAAGGGACATTAGATCAGAAGGGATACTCTGAGTTGGTCTCTGCAAGACGTGCTACTACATATCGCGTCAGTTGATTTCCATTGTCCACAGAGATCTGTGTCTATTAGGTTCCTCACCATTTCGCTAAAACCAATTTGGACCATCTTTTCTACTTTTCTTACCCTAATCACATTTTTATCTTGGCTAACTACTGACTTTTTGATCTCCAGAGAAACTTCAAAGGGACTTAACAAAAAAATCTATTCATTGTTCCCCTGAAAATGTCTGTTTTATCTCAGTTACGTGAGTTCTAGTTGAATTATTTTAAGTACGGGTCAAATAAAGCTAGACTATAACTAAGAAGATATCAGAAGGTTTGCTTTTTTTTTTTTTTTTTTAGGTAAAAATGTCCCCATCCTGTCATCCATCCAAAGGGGATCCTGCTGTTAAGAAGGTGGGTGAGTTTTAACGGCAAAAAGCCGACTTCCTCCTTCTGTGTATTTATTCTCCTCTGTTGAACCATGTTCTCAAAATGAGTGATTTTAAATCATTTTAATGCGTCAAAGTTTCTTTCTGATTGGATGCCTTAAAGAGGTGTCACCCGGACTTGTTGGCTCTTCCAGAGAAGCCAAATGGGGGTTTGGGTCTAGCATCAGTCTCTTGACAACTAGGGACTTTCATTGTTCTAGAATTCCCACCCTCTCTACCAGATGGGCATCCTGGTATCAGTGAGTGGTAGCAGATGAAAGATATTTTAAGGATGAAACGTACATAGTTTTTCTTAACAATGTACTTTCCCTCCAGATAGCTGTTCCTAAAGAAAACTGGTCTGAGGTATTAACATTTCAGCACATACCAGCTAAGTAAGACCTCAATAAATACTTGTGTGATAGAACTCTTATCTAGGCCATTTCAACCCTTGAATGTGAACTCTGTGACACAGATAGGTTGTTTGTCTTTCAAGTAATCCTCAGATGATGTCAAAAGAACCACTAAAATCCTTTTCTTTATCCAACTGCAACAGTGCAGTTGAAATTTAGCAAACAGATTGACATTTTTGCTATGTTTTCTCTTACCATTTTTATTTCTCTGATAGTTGACTTGTCCCTGGTTGTAGGTGTGCTTTCCTTGCTCTTTTTTATGATTTCAGCCAGCATCCGTGTCAGGGAAGGATTGTAGAACAAAAATAACACCTTGCTGGCTCTGTTGACTAACAGCAGGTTCTAGCTTCAAAGCGGTGTGCCAAAAATGGATGCCTTTTCTCTGCCTTCAGAATCCCCTTTTCAAAGGAAAAAAAGAATAGAAATGAAATATGTTGTCTGAAAAGCCTTATAACGTGCTGCACGTGAAACCCTCTTTCACTCTTGTCAAGACAGCAAGGGCAGGCGCAACCACAGTGGTGATTGTTGCCGCTCAGAACCATCACACCGTAACATGAGGAGCTGGAAAGGGTGTCAGCCACTTAGTCGCACTCAGTAAGCAAAGGAGGAAACTGGAATCCAGAGGGAAATTTTTTACCTCTCTCAAATGTTCCATGGGACACACTTCTACCATAGAGGTTAAAAACATGTGCTTTGGATTCAGTGATTGACTCATCTACTTTATCTGAATAACCTTGAGTAAGTCAGCCTCTCTGTTTCCTCCTCTGTAAAGTGATGATGCTCCTCTCAGAATTGCCCTAAAGATTAAATGAGAAACAATATAAGTGCCTGACGCTGTGTTTGACACATATTAAGTACTCAGTAAATTATAACACAAGTACTCAGCTGTTACTGAAACTAGTATTAAAACACAAGTCTCCCAACTCCTAGTCAGATGTCCTTTCATCTGTCCTTTATTATGCTACTTATATACTATTGTCCATTCAGCAAGTATTTCTTTATACTAGAAAGTGAGCTAAGAAGCAGACTACAGAGATTAAAAATACAATCCCTGTTCTCAAGGACCTCAGCATTTAATTGGAAAGGTAGACAGGTTGCACTGACAGTTACCAGACTACTTGACACGTGCCATGCAGGGTGCGCAGGGTGCTGCAAGAGTGTGCGGGAGAGGCCCGGTTTTGAAATGACTAAGCTCCTTTAGTACAACTCTTACATTCTTTATGGTAAAGAGTCCAGTGAAGAAACTTGAGAAATGGTTAGCTGCTCCCCTACAACTTTGTTACTAGATTGTAATGAAAGCAAATCCTACCATACTTAAAGACATTTATTAAATTAAGATCACGAAAACATTTTATCCAGTTGACATATCATGAATACCTTTTATTTTAGCAATGAGGGTTCATTTCTAATATTTACCATTCTGATTAATAAGACATTGATTTCACCAATGGAAAATTTTTCTGCTGTCTTTTGAGCTAATGAGCAAAGTCTTAGGTGTTGGTCAATATATGAACAGCTTTTAGGAGCTGCCTTTGGAAGTTCATGTGAGCTGCAGTTTCTGAAATGTGGATTCTTGTTTAGAGCCACTGACCACCCCTGACTTGAAGCCTAAACTTAATAGCACATACTTAATATTGCACTGTTTATGGTGTGTAGAATAACTTTAAAGTATATATCATAACAGGTGCCTCTCCCAAACCAAAAGGTCAAGGAAGGCTTCCCAGTAGAGGTAAAGCTTGATCTAGCCTGGAAACACAAGGCAAAAGGTATTCCAGGCAGACATGGGTGAGCTAGGAAACGGAGGCAGTTCTGATTGTCTTAAGTATGGGATCTTGCAGAAGCCTGGTGAAGTAAACGGGAGTCCAGATCACAGAGCCCCAGTCTGTGAAGTTTGCTTTTTATCTCAAGGATAAGTGTTTCCATCAAACATGAGGCAGAAAGACCAATTAGAAGAAAAAAGGTCCTAAGCCTATGCTATGTTAATAGAATGAGGAGGTGAGATAGATTTAGGTCTTAGCCTTTTTATTCTCCCCACAAACCTTTTTGACACCGTGAGTTAGGTGTCCTTCCCTTTTTGAGCTCTCAGAGTACCCTGAACTAGTCCTTACAAACATACTTATCTGGCTGTGTTGAAATTGCCTCTTTGCTTATATGTGTCCCTCATTAGACTCTCTGCCTCATAAGGGCAGGGCCCGTAGCAGTTCTGTTTCCTGTTGTCTATCTAAGTGTAGAACAAAGTATGCAGTCACTCAGTAGTTGTTGCGTGAATGAGAGACATGGAAGAGATTCTGTAGGACTTCATAGTTGTTTATGGGAAGTGAGGAGAAAAAAGAAGTTTCTGCTGAATAACTGGAGAAAGAACAAATGAAGCATCATTGCTGTTCTGGGCTTGTATTCCCAGCATGGTCAGTTCCTTACTGTTTAAGCTCTATCAGCAATACTCCAAGTGAGACCAGTGTAAAGCTCAGCACCTCATTGTTACTTCCCTAGTTGGATATGTATATTTGTGTGTATGTGTTTGTGTGTGCATATATATATGCATCTACATATATATTCTGGTTGTCATCCTGGAGCTACAGTCCCTCTTCCCAAAGTTGCACTGACAGATGGGAGCACCAAGAGTGTCTGTTGAACAGTGTGACTGCCAAAGTGACATGTGTAAGAAACACAAAAGAGCAGCAGTGTTCTTGATTTAAGCCAAAGATTCTCTGTTGACCAATAACTGAAGAGAGTGCTCAGTGACTCTACTGCATATTGGCCCTGCAAAGAGCTCTGCTCAAGCGCCGACGAGTCAGGAGCCATGTTCTGTAGGTCCTGCTAGCTCGGGATACGCAGCTTATGTAGAAGTCACTCTCCTATTCTGCTGCCATGTCAGGGCCTGGCAGACGCCATGAGCATTTTGTATTTGTGATATTCTTTCAGAAAGCTCTGGATTAGAAATACTTATCATACGTAATAATATATCTATAGCATTTAAAATTTGTATATCATATTTATCTTTTGTATATAAAATTTCTTCTTAATGGGCTCTAACTGATAACTTCAATAAAAAAGTAGGAAGACACATATGCTTCCCTAGGACTTCTTCAGTGTTTGATCATAGATAACTAGAAATTAGAAGCATTTTCCTTAGATAAAAATTGTCCTAAAGTCCATTGCACTAAACTCCCTAGCATAGATCCAAATAGGAGGTGCTGAAGTGTTTGAGGTGGATTAAAGGAGTTTAGAGGGTTAGTTGAAGGCAGCATCAAAAACGTCTCAGCTATGATGCAGCACTTCTTGACTACTGTAGAAACACCAACCAGGAACTTGTGTGGCAAAGTTGGCATTGTTACATGCATAATAATCAGAGAAAGCAGTTTTGTCTTATTCTTGATCACAAAAGCATGGTTACCCTCTGAGCCATCCCCTGTTTTAGATGAACCTTCTCTGCTGTTGTGTTTGTGGAAGCCTGAGGGGCCGGGTGTTCTCGCTGGTAGATCCACTATAAGGGGTACAGTTAATGTTCTTCTCAGAATGACTTCTTCCAGTTAGGGAGAAGGTACTGGGAGTGGCATAGTGGGAAGCCTTTCTAATAGTTCTGGGTAATTCAGTAAATATTCAACAAGCCTCTAAGGTGCCAGGACTTGGGGGAACAAAGGTCAGTGAAAAATAGTTCTTGCAGAAGGAAAAGACCTACAAAAACAAACCCAAAACAATGAAGAAAATGGTAATAGGAACATAAATATCAATAATTATCTTAAGTGTAAATGGATTAAATGCTCCAACCAAAAGACATAGACTGGCTGAATGGATACAAAAACAAGACCCATATATATGCTGTCTACAAGAGACTCACTTCAGACCTAGGGACACATACAGACTGAAAGTGACGGGATGGAAAAAGATATTCCATGCAAATGGAAATCAAAAAAAACCTGGAGTAGCAATTCTCATATCAGACAAAATAGACTTTAAAATAAAGACTATTACAAGAGACAAAGAAGGACACTACATAATGATCAAAGGATCAATCCAAGAAGAAGATATAACAATTGTAAATATTTATGCACCCAACATAGGAGCACCTCAATACATCAGGCAAATGCTAACAGCCATAACAGGAGAAATCGACAGTAACACTATAATAGTAGGGGACTTTAACAACCCACTTTCACCAATGGACAGATCATCCAAAATGAAAATAAATAAGGAAACAGAAGCTTTAAATGACACATTAAACAAGATGGACTTAATTGATATTTATAGGACATTCCATCCAAAAACAACAGAATACAGTTTCTTCTCAAGTGCTCATGGAATATTCTCCATGCCAGATCACATATTGGGTCACAAATCAAGCCTCGGTAAATTTAAGAAAATTGACATCATATCAAGTATCTTTTCCAACCACAACGCTATGAGACTAGATATCAATTACAGGAAAAAACTGTAAAAAATACAAACACATGGAGGCTGAACAATACACTATTAAATAACCAAGAGATCACTGAAGAAATCAAAGAGGAAATAAAAAAATACCTAGAAACAAATGACATTGAAAACACGATGACCCAAAACCTATGGGATGCAG